AGCGCATGTTCAGTGAGCTTGGGGATCTACTAGAGCCTCGCCGACGAGGCATGCAACCGCAGCTTTTGGCGGCGATACAGTGCGTACGACGGTGGCGTAAAGCTAGTTTAGGCAACGATAATATTAGCTCAAAAGTCACTATAAGTGATGATAGTATAGAGACGTTGTATGAGCTGAGTAAGTGGGATAGCGATATCAATAGTGATAGCGAAACTCAACACCAAGAATAGTCGCTGTAGCTATAGCTAATATTATCTACTTAACTAGCTTTGAAAAAGACGCTATGACCATCAAGCTCATCAAGCTCATCAATCAAGCTGGCTTGATACACCAAGCCAAGCTGAGTCAAGCCAAGCCAAGCTGACAGTTTTGCTTTTGCCTATCAAGCTGAGGCAAGCCAAGCTGGAGCTTGGCTTGGCTTGATTGTTGACATCTCTGCATATACCACCTTGAAACGATTTCACGTGTTTGAACATGAGACCACACCACTCTTCTACCCATTCCTCGAGTGACCAGTCTTCGCACCTATGCAGTAACTTTGTCGTGTTGGAATTCGTGGAAAGATTGTGCTCAAGCCGGATGTTGCTGTTTCCAAGAAGAATATCTTTCATCGTGTGCGGTAGTGTTTTAGGAACATGGCATGGATAAGGAAAACGGAAGTGGCGATATTCTCCTTCAAGTGGGAGATCCGGTACCGTGAACTCCTTCCGTTGCTGGAACTGACGATTGAACGCTTCCTGAAAAGCGAGCATCTTCCTCACTAGACGCCACACGTGCCTGTCATTACAGTTTTTGAACGTCAAAGTGTATGAGTTCGAGGGCATCCCCAGCGCTGAGAGATTTTCCGCTTCTGTAATCCATTCAACAATGGGCACAAAAAGGTCGATGGCGAAAAAGTAAGTACAGTTCCACCAATCCCCGCGAAGATCTGCTCCCCAGCGAGAAGGGAATATGTGATCCCATAATCCAACGCGCCTCTCGACACGCATCTGGGCATTTTCTTGGCAGAATTTGATCAGCTCTTCGGCATGTCGCTCTGGGTTGTAGACAGCTTTTTCGTTTTCGTCGAGAATGATAGTACGCAGAAACGACCGTTGTGTTGGCTGAAGGCTCTCTAAAAACGACGCAGCCAGCGATGCTGCCGAAAAGAACCATGCGAAAGCGGTGACATCATTTCCAGAGTCGAAACAACATGTTTCAGTTGGGTTTAAGTAGGCTTTGAGTGCACATAGCTCGCTTTCCGTTGGAATCATCGAAGCATTCGGTCTCCACTGGAGTATTGCATGAGGAAGGTCAGGTCGGAACCATTTCTGCTTGCTCCAGATAGGATCTTCATGAGGTATGAAAGGCCTTCCCCGACCGTAGTCTTCCATCCTAAAATATTGATGGGTTCGGGCGAATTCTAGAGTCATATCAAGAGCCTTTTGTATATCTGGGACGTGTTTCTGTTCCCTTAAGTACCATTCATGCCTTGCCCACCAGTCGTCCCTGTGTCCGCCCTGCGCCTCTTTCAATTCATGTAAGGTCATGACTATGTCCCTTCCTGCTCTAGGGTACATTTCTATAAGCTTTTGGATCTGTGTAGGGTTGAGATAGTCGGCATTGTTATACAGTAACTGCCACTTGGTAGCGTCGAGTGCGTTGAGTAAGCGTTTAAACCGAAGGGCGTCGGATCCCAACGGCCGCGCACCAGTGCGGTCATCAGGTGTGAAAGTGATTGTGTTCAGCTTAAGAGCTAGACCCTGTGATTCTTTCGCTACGGCTTTGCAGGCACGGGTGAATCGGATATCGAGTGGTTTTCCATCAGACGTACGAAGTACACCATTTTCGCCCTTGAGATGGTGATGTAATCCGTTTGGCTCGTAGAAGTAGAAGAAATATATCATGTCGCGGATTTCACGGGGAATCTGGAATAGCCTTGATTGGATCTGATCCGAGTAGTCCATAGTTGCAGAGTTGCAAGCAAATGTTATGCTCCTGGAATGAGAGTGCTCCGGGGTATGCGAAGTATGTGGGAATGTGGAAAATACAGTAAGGTTTGCGCTCCTGTCGAAAATCCTTTCGGAGAGTTTGATATGAGAGCTAAAGATGTTGCGGGGTACAATCATTTTATGCGTTGCAGAAGGGGTTCGTCGACTCGAACTTTGGTCACCAAGCATGGTAGGCCGGTACCTGACCCACTCTCCTGTATATTAACCAGAACATCGCACACAGTATAGAATTTGGGACCAATGCCTTTTCTAGCTATTCTCAAATTGTTCAATCGCATCAAATGATTGGTGATGCGAATACTCTACGAGTCTTTTCTGTGCGGTACCGCTACAATGTGTAGCTTCATAAAGCAAAGGAAAGTAATAGCGACGTTTTCATTGGCACAATATTGCGAGTTGGTCTTGGAACGTCCAGTAAGTTGGAAGAAGAGTCATCAAAGTGGATATTTGCCTCTTGGATAGGTTGATTGGGGATCTTTGAGTACCATGGTTCTTGAGAAGAGGCCTTCTTTGGTTAGCCTGAACTTGCGCCCTGTCAGATCATAGAGATTAGAAATCAAGCATTTAAAGAGTCACAGGGAACTGTTAGTAAGACTCACTAGAGTGACTAAGAAGCATTCTTCTTACGTACTCAGCATCCTCACCATCATCACCTAGAAAAGATATTGTGAGATGGAACGATAAGTAGGAAAGAATATTTGAAGGCTATAGCTTTGACGGCGATGGAGAAATAAAACCCAAAATTTGAACAAGTTGAAGGCTGCTTGTGAAAAGGAGCCAGGGATATGCCAAGTCACTAATAAAAATTAGATTACAAATACAAAGACCAAAGAAAAAGGTGATACTGACAGGTCCTTCAGTTCCGCTGCCTTCTGCTAGAGCACAAATTACCCGACAGCAGCAATGAATATTCTAATCGTGAAGCTTTAACTGAACGCTGTATAGAATTAAAAAAGTTCTTAAGGGCAGGGGCTTCGTCCCTAGACTAAGACAATCCGGACATCAAGTCCAGGAGCCCAGCTACATTGCACATTGCGAGCGGCTTTAGCAGGCTATGATCTGTTAGTACGAGAGAATTACTCCATATCAAATACACTCATTTCCAACACTTCATCAAGCTAGTGACTAGGATCTGAATGAAGGCTACCTTATGCGTGAAGTTAGTCGACTCACAAAGCGCTGAATCGGAAAAGTTCATTCAAAAGGAATCTGATAACTGTGGATAAGAAATATGTACACGAATGTATGCAAAAGTATCATCGTTATGTGGATATTAGCGCGATATAGGATTCAGATACAAAGGCGCCTACTAACCTCTGTAGACTGTATTATCGTCAATCAACTACAGTACAACATCTGATCGAATAATCATACGCGCTCTGCATCAAGGGAAAAGATGGCGGATGATCTGGCGTTAAGGAATATCTGTATGGCAGAGATCGCAGTAAAGCCCGTCAATGTCTTTTGTCTGAATCTCGTGCAATGTACTGCGCCATCCCATCTTTGAAGTCCTGCACCACAACAACATGCTGGTTAAGTTACTGGCAAGCGATTATGGAGCTTCAAATATCTCAGATTTTGATCTTTAGTGTACGCTTTTGGGGATTTTGATTCATAGCTCAAGGTGGATGTTTATCGGGCTTGCTTTCCACTCCTCAGCCCAACATTTTACCATCATGGAGTTGCTACTATTCGATAATTCCCCGTGTTAAACCTGCCTCAATGTTTCAGCGACTGAATTCAATTTACTTTACTATGTAGTGTTCAAAGGATAAAATATATATTCTTTCCGAGATATGAATAGAGAAAAACCGTACCTTTCTGGCTTTGAGCGTCATCTAGGTCCACTCTCTATCATCTGTAACCTTGGCGGGTTCGAATTCACAAAAATAAGGGAGGTTATGACTAATCAATGCAATTTTTCCTAACTACAATATCCTAACCTGAAACCTTCTCCCTTATCATGGGTCGGCGACAATAAGACAACCAGCATAGGAACCGCCAGCCTCTGCGAAAGGACCAGGGCAGTTGAGGCATGATCCAATGAATTCGTTGTCTATCGTCTGTGGAGCAATTGAGTGCTGGCAGCCATAAACATGGATACACATAAAGGTATAGAGAGATGCCCCATCGTTGTTGTTTATAAGACCAGTGTTGCAAGTGAGGGAAGCCGATGGAACGTTGTATCTGGCTTTAATTTGGGCCGGAGAGAGCTCCTTTGCAGGTGCGCAAAATCCAGGTACTGCCATGATCATGGCCACAATAGCGAATGCGGAGAATCTCACTAATCCACTATGTCAGTGCAGTATATAGTTATGCTTGTGCATCTTACTTTTGATGTTATTTTCTGAATAGATAGGTGGGATGATGGGGTTTTGCTGAAGTTTGCGAAGAATGTAGAAGTGATAAACAGAGCTGTAGGGTGTGATGTGCTATGTTGCATTCCTTACCGACCCTTTAAATATCTTTTCGTAAATCCTAATTCTACCCCCTTACTACCTTGAGTTGCATTCATGACAATAGGTATTGAGCTCAAGAACTCTCGGCCCGAAGTACACTGCTATACATCTCGTTTATAAGCCTAGCTATCTTGTAATACGCAGTCAGCTGATAGACAAAGTGTCTAGCAGTATGTGGCTGAAAATGAGTCCACCTATCGTTGTCCTACTATCCGCCCTTTTCATGCCTATCTACAATATCCAGGGTAGGGTTTGTTACAGGCGCTGACATGGGGGGGCCCTTGAGCTAGTAGAAAATGGCATAACACTCTACTGTGGTGTCAGAATAAGATTTATCTTACCAAACAGGGTAAAGGTAGAAAGACAAGTAAAGCGCTAGGGCTAATGTGGCTCACCTAGACCACTTTGTACAAGAATTAATAATAGGACTCTAATGACCTATTAGTGCTGTTTAGGCTAACCTCCGTATTACTGCCGATAGCTCTACTACATCTATCCCTTATTTGTGCTTATCTAAGTACACTTTAGGCTGAACTCCGTATTACTACCGATGATTCTGCTACATCCCTCCTGTCATAGGCCGGCTCACGAAGCCGAGTATTTTACTAACTACGCTATTCATATACCAAAGACTCAGTGCCACCACTCTTAGACTTATAGCGACTGTTTCGGCTATGAACATAACAATTATTGTTAGAATTGACATTACCTTCGAGATTATAAGAAGTGCCGTTATAATCACTTTTGCAAGAGTCAATACGGCTTCTTCTGGATTTTCACCACTTGAATCATTGTGACGCATTGATGCTTAATTGACACAGTAGCGTTTAAGCTGTGCCGAACGCGATCGCGAAGCTTCTGCAATGATTTTTCAGCTATAGCTTCTCTGTGCTCTTTCTTCATCGCAGGGTTACCTTGTAGACCTCGGCCCTTGGTCATCGGAACGACGTCTTCAGTCTGACGCAAGGTATGCTGCAAATTTGTCACCTTCTTGGATCAAGAACAGCTTGGCCACTCGGATGGATATAGGTCGCTTCCCCAGCCGTGTTGAGTAGGGTGAAAGTATCCCCAATGGAATTGTTGAGCTATACTCTCAATCTCAGAGGGTCTTAGCTCTCGCCTCCATTATGGATGATGAAAATTGAAGTCACTATTGATCTATTGGTAACTCGACTTCAGCATGCGCTCTATGAGGTATAGTATTGTTAATTGTCTATAGTGGCTGCGTATATTAGTGGTGTTGACCCTAATATTAGTTAAGATACATACGGAAATATCCAAGCATGGTATTCCCCGTGATTAGATTTGTCGAACTATGTCTAGTTGTGCGCTTAATTGGAGTACTAAAGAAACAAGTCGATATACATCTAGGCTGGTGACATCGCTCAGGTATTTATCTTAAGTTCATCTAGTATACCTGACATGATATGGTATCGTCCGCTTCATTGTCATATTCCCCCTTATGACGCACAACGCAATTCTCCTATGCTAACAAATTAATTACATCATCGGTATCTTTAGGTATAAAATTTCTATTTCAATGTAGGGAACCGAGGAAGTCATTAATGTCTAGATATGAGAGGTAATCGATACAATCGAAGATAAGCTAGCATCCATGCTGCACCTGGGCGGTGTGAGGTAAGATATGCATCTGGTCACTTAAAACAATCTAAGCTCACACTTTCCGCAGAGACGACATGAAAATACGGAATACGAGTGATATAATTTTCTGTTCTTTCGCGAATCAACTACAAGTGTCACGTCTAAAAAATTACATTGACAAAGTTGAACGGGCTCCTATCACATGGCAGGTTCACAAATACTAGAGTTACTTAGAGCCAGCAGTTTGAGACAAAAAGAAGGCGACATATGTGGACCGCGATGCCGCACTCATGTCAGCTGGGTGCAAAGCTATGTCTCTTTATCACATATTGAACATCGTGGTTGTGGTCTCAGTCCCCAAAATTGATGTGTATCAAAAGCAGACGCCTTTTGGACTTGTAGAAATACAAGCTGGAGTCTCGGTGGTACATTTGAGGTTTTGAGACGAGCCGAGAAGTTTTGCAAGAGTTAATTAAGATATCGATGTGTAGTATGATCTAGGGTAGGAAACCAGGTCCATTCAATAGCACTTTCACTTACTTGTATTCATACTGTTAAGAGCTATTGAGATTTCATTCCAGCGAAGAATAGTTGTGATCGTGTATTCAGTTATGACACATGGAACATGTTCTGTTTACGACAGCACAATTGCATCAACATTATAAATAAACCGAATAGAAAAGATTGAAACACATCAAGTCACACGCATGAGGTTGTAAAACTCATATTGTCCAAAAGCAACAGTTGTCATTGTTCCATCTACCATTGAATCACCATTCCGTTGCTTCGGAATTTTCCACACGGGAACCACCCAATACATTAAATTTTTCCATCACCACTTCACAACACCCTTCACCAACTGATCCCGAGCTTCTACTGCACTGACCCGCCGAAGCGACGTAGACACCGACATACTGTCGGGCAACCTTCCGTTAATGCACAATGCAACACGAACCAGATTCCCAGAAGCTCATCGCCGTTCTCGGACCCTCACTACAGTAAAGTAACGCCGTTGCAATGACCGCAAGTCATCATCAAACCTGAAATCGCTGGAGTGACATCGCACCGACACATATGATCGGGAGACCTTCCATTAAGGCAAAAACCACGCTGCTTCGGTTTGAGAGACTGCTGGTTGGACGGGTGGACTGTAGCTGGGGTTAATTGGAACTTGGTGACCCCAAGTGATGTGAAGTGGAACAGGAGTACATGAAAAGAGTGGTCCTGATCTGAAAGCTGTAAGTAAAATCCAACAAGGGAATGTTGTCACTTACACATCACCACTATCCATAAGCGGTACCCATGGACTGGCTGCTTCGAATCGAGTTGGAATGATCAGCGGTATTGTCGAGGCCAGCCTCGAATGTCGAGCTTGAAATGTGAATGTTGGCAATGAGACCAGTTTGGTAAGTTCAAAGCATTGGTTATGAACGAAGGGCTCGCTATGAGTGCCGCCAATGGCTACTTATTTAGCAACAAGCCCATGTTGGATGGTGGAAAAGGTGTTTGATCAATCTTGATCTCGCTGGCACCAATTAGAAAGAAATGGAGGAGGGTAACACAAATATACCTGTTATCTTGCTGGTTGAAGCGGCCACTGGGTGAGTCAACTGATCCTAGAGGCTAGAGAGATGTGTACCTTTGGTGGCCTCGCATTTGCAGAGCTTCATCTTGCTATGGCCATGATAGGGTATGGGGATTGGAAATGTGACAAAGGCGTAGGTTTGGTTCAAGTAAGTGAGTGGGTAGTGGGGGGATACGGGCATGAGGCCCTGTTCATATACCCAGTCTAGTAGCGCCAAAACTTAGCGGCACGTGACTTCAAGTTATCTCCAAGCGCCAGCAAGGTTACACGCACTCCGTAAAAGTGGGGCACGAAGTGAAGTCCGCAGCGTTCAGACTGAGACTCATAGTAAATAAGCGAGCTGGGGTCTGATAGCGGCTTACTGACACCATCCTCTGGAATATTTTAGAAGTTGGTGAAGCTGCTGCCTTGGGCTAGCGTTCAGGTGAGGCGTTCAATTGCATCACAAGGTCACGGGCTGATGAGGTGATGAGTGAAAGGGAAGCCTGGGCAAAGTCTTGGACGAAAACATGGACAGTTGCTAAATAAATTTTATTGAAGGCATCGAAGACGGATTCTAGGCATTTCTATATAATAGAGGTCTTGAAAAACATAGACATAACTGGTTCCTCGTTGCGTAGTGTGCTTCCATAGACAGGGTCGAGGGAGAGGCTGGCACAGAACAATAACAGTTGGCTGAGCAAGGACATAGCTTCAATCTGTCATGTGAGTAGATATATTAAGAGCAATGCTCAGAAACAGGTAATATCAACTTCACAAAACTACATATATGGTAGTAGTAATGGTACCTTGAGGCGTGAATGATGCAGTAGAGCAAATTCTCGAAACAAAAACCATTCTTCCCTATCGCGAGAAAATCTTGGAAGAAAAACTGACGTAAAAAGAAAAATCTAATTTCACAACCGGGTGGGAGAGTCGACAAGCACATCCAAGACGTGACGTCCAAGTCGGAACCCCGAGGCACGTCCCCAATCGGCGGAACCCCGGCTCCATCCCCAAAAGTCGCCATTGCATTGTCGCGAACACCTCGCCGCCCCATCTACAGCGGACTCTCTGCCCCAACACCCTCCGCCGCAGTCCCTTCCGAACACACGCCCCGGACGCGCCAAATACCGCCAATATGGCCGCCGCCGAAGCCGAAGTCGCAGACGCGCTGTACAATCTGCGCGTGAGCATCAAAGCCAACGCAGCGCCCATCCTGACGACGAGCGCAACACCCACACCCGCCGACACGGTGACGGACCTCGCTCAAGCAACGCACATTTCATTTAACACCGAGGATGGCGCACACCGCAACTTTGCCCTCAGCACGCCGACGCGATTCGCGCCCGATGGCAAGGCCGTCGACCTGCGCAGCTGCTACTTTGCCTGGCTCAACAAAGACGCTTCCGTCACCGACTACTTTGCTGCGGTGCAGACGCTCAACGAAGAATTGCCGGGAGGCGCTGGTGGCAGCTTGCAAAACCTAACGTTCGCGCAGAAGATTGAGTTGATTGCATGGCTGAGCGGAGAGACGGAGAGCAGTGACAGCATCGCTGCTGTAGATGGAGGCGCCCTGAGCGCAGCTGCAGGAGACGCCGCAGCAATCGCCGGCGGAAAAGGCGTCCCAGTTGATGGAGGCAAGGGCATCAAGGTGGGAAGCGGCAGCGGCATGATGGACGCGCGATTACTCCAGATATACGATGGAGAGAGAAAGATGGGCGACCACAACACGGTGCTAAGGGGATCCAAGAACGTCGTACGTATATGCATTTTCCCGCTTTGTGACAAAGCCCCCAACCGCAACAACACCCGACAGCCAAAAACCTAACCCTTGCAAAAAAAACAACTAGGACTTCTCGCCCTACCGCAAAATCGCCGCTACATTTCTGCGCGCCCGCTCTTCCGACCCCAAAGTCCCCGCGCCCCAGCCCGCGCTCGTCGCAAACTTGCAGAAGCGGCCGCGCCGCCTGCAACCCATCATCCTGCTGTCTCCCTCGGCCTCGTCGCTACTCCGCACTTCAAACGTGAAAACGTTCCTCTCCGACGGCGTCTTCGTACCGCCCAACACGACCGACTCGTCGTCGACGTCGGCGAGCGCAAATATGATTCAGATCCAGCGGACGCTGCCCTCGATATCGTCGCAGCCCCTGACCTTCATCTGCGTCGACAGCACCTCGTCGTTCAAGCCCACCTACTGGACCCGTGTCGTCGCCATCTTCACCACCGGCCAGCTCTGGCAGTTCAAGTCGTACAAGTACACGCAGCCTGCAGAGCTGTTTGCAAACTACCCGGGCATCTACATTGGGTGGAGTTCAGAAGAGCCTCCGGAGACGGTCAAGCAGCTTGGTCGTGGCGTGCTGCCTGTGGGCGTGGACAAGTGGACGGGCAGTGAGAAGGGCAGGTGGAGGGACAGGGAGGTGGTAGAGCGCATCTGGGGCAAGATTGAAGATGGCATGAGGAAGGCGGGCTGGACGAGAGATGGACCGGGCTTGGCCGGGCAGCAGGTGCGGTAATGAGACGAATGTGTTGCTGCGACTTCATTTTGCAAATATTGCATATGCAACATTTTTCCGTATTTCATGGGCAGCATGGGATGATATATGCCGTCGTCTTTTGGTGGGTGTTTGGGGCGTTGGTAACGTCATGCGCGAAAATAGCTATGTTAAGGCATGTTCTGAGAAAAGAAAAAAGTCAGCCTAAATTGTATACCAATCGAGCGCTGCGACATGGAGTTTTTTCTTCAAGATAGAGAATTTACATCATCAATCATTACGAATTCTTCAGGAGCTTGGTTCGGTTATTGGTATATTTCATTTCATTCAACATTCATTATCTAGTTTCCTAAACTGGTTTTTATCTCATGTCCAAAACACCCAGCATTCCAGTCAATCATACGTTAAAATCGAACCGTGCCTAAATAACACAAAAGTAAAAGCCCAAGATAAAACTTCTTTTTTTTCCTCCACACGCCATGCTTTCTACCACTCAAGCGGCTCCTTGAGCTCCTCTCCCCTGTTTGTCTTGGGGACAGGCTGCGCCTGGATCTTGACTGGGCCACGGCCATGTCTCTTCAGGTAGCCGCTGCCATCCAGCCATGGCCAGAGGGCTGTACGCTTCTGCTCGTGCTTCTCGATCTTGTCAACATTGGCCATGGTCAAGCCAATGTCGTCCAGGCCATTGACAAGGCAGTGTTTCCTAAACTCCTCGACGTCGAACTTGGCTAGCTCGGTGCCATCAGCAGCGCGGACGACCTGGTTAGGCAGATCAACTTCAATCTCCTTGCCGGCAATCGCTTCGTCGGCAATGCGCTGGAGGGTGGCAGCATCTTGTATGCGGATGGGAAGCATGCCATTCTTGAATGTGTTGTTGAAGAAGATGTCACCAAAAGATGGGGCGATGATGCACTTGATGCCAAAGTCGAGTAGAGCCCAGGGCGCGTGCTCTCGGCTGGATCCGCAGCCAAAGTTGGGTCCAGTGCAGACTAGGATCTTGGCGTTGCGGTAGGGTTCCTTGTTTAGGACGAATGACGGGGTTTCATTGTCGGTGCCGGGATCATAGCGCCAAGCGTGGAAGAGGGCGCTGCCGAGACCGGAGCGCTTGATTGTCTTGAGGAATTGCTTGGGGATAATGGCATCGGTGTCGATGTTGGCGATTTCCATAGGCGCCGCGTATCCGCGGAGTGTTTCAAACTTGGGCATGCCAGAGGGGGCGCCTCCCGTGCTGGCCGTGTTGGAAGCAGTGTGTTGGGGCTCTGAAGTGGGCTGGTCCATGATTTTGTCCAATTCCTCATCGCTGCTGGGGGCCTCCACATGGGCGTCAAGTTCGATCTTTGGCGAGGTCTTGGCCTGTCCTGAGGTTTGAGGTGCGAGTTTCCGGACATCGGCTAGGTTTCCTACAATGGCAGCAGCTGCGGCCATGGCAGGCGACATGAGGTGGGTTCGGCCGCCAGCACCTTGTCGGCCTTCAAAGTTACGGTTCGATGTTGAAGCGCATCGTTCACCGGGAGAAAGGATATCGGGGTTCATGCCCAGACACATTGAGCATCCGGCTTCTCTCCACTCGAATCCAGCATCGGTGAAGATTTTGTCGAGGCCTTCGGCTTCCGCCTGCTGCTTAACCAGACCAGATCCAGGCACGATCATAGCACGCTTGATGTTGGAAGCGACCTTCTTACCCTCGACAATTTGTGCAGCAGAGCGCAGATCCTCAATTCGAGCGTTGGTGCAAGATCCGATGAAGATCTTGTCCAGAGGAATTTCCTGCATAGGAGTGCCCGCAGTCAAGCCCATGTACTTGAGCGCACGCTCGCACGCCTGCTTCTTGACCTCATCTTGGAAGTCATCGGGGCCAGGGACCACACCAGTAATGGGAACGACATCCTGGGGCGAGGTACCCCAAGAAACAGTGGGGGCAATGTCCTTTGCATCGATCAGGACCTCGATGTCGTACTTGGCGCCCTCGTCAGACTTCAGGCTCAGCCAATAGTTGCACGCCTTGTTCCACTCGGGGCTGTCGACTTTTGGCGCAAGAGGCCTTCCCTTGAGGTATTCAATCGTCGTCTGGTCTGGCGCAATCATGCCAGCTCTTGCTCCTCCCTCGATGGACATGTTGCACATGGACATGCGCGCCTCCATGCTCAAGCCGCGGATAGCCGAGCCGCAGAACTCAATGACGGCACCGGTTCCTCCAGCCGTGCCAATCTTGCCAATGACGTGCAGGATGATATCCTTGCTGCCGACGCCAGGTCCCAACTCGCCCTCGACCTGGACCTTCATGTTCTTGCTCCGCTGTGTGATGATGGTCTGTGTCGCCAAAACGTGCTCGACTTCACTTGTGCCGATACCGAAGGCGAGGGCACCGAAAGCGCCATGTGTGGATGTGTGGCTGTCACCGCAGACAACTGTGGTTCCGGGGAGGGTGAAGCCCTGCTCGGGCCCAATAATGTGCACAATACCCTGCCTCTTGTCGTCGAGGCCAAAGTATGTGAGGTCGAAGGCCTTGACGTTCTCTTCGAGCGTCATGCATTGTAACCGCGAGTCCGTCTCCTCGATGAACTTTTCTGTCGTGGTGAGGTTTTTCCGCGATGTCGTGGGAATGTTCTGTCCATGTTAGTCGGCAGACGCAGCGGACGGACTCGGTGACATACGTGGTCTACTGTGGCGAGGGTGCAGTCCGGTCTTCGTACTCGGCGGCCGGCGTTCCGGAGGCCCTCAAAGGCTTGCTGCAGACATTTGTGAGCTTTTGGAGAGGAAAGCGCAGATTCCGGGTTTTGCCTACCGGTGATGTCACTTCGTGGACCAGATGTCTGTCTGGAGAGTCGTTAGCAGCGAAGACGGCGGCTTTACAGTGCCAGCCGTACCAATGTAGAGCAGGATTGTTCCATCCTCCTTTTCCTCGACAATATGGTCCCCAAAGACCTTGTCGTACAGGGTTTGCGGGGGTTTCACGGCAGACGGCATGGTGGAGATGTTCAGTCTGGGTTGCACAAGAGGGTCGATGCAAAGGCAAAGGAGCGAAGGGGGGAGAGGAGTAAGATTATAAGAGTGTCAGCGTCTCGGCGAGGGCGTTTATCGGCTTAAAAGACAGGCGTGTGGAACTCTAAATGCTGGAAGGCGAACAATGCACAGAGAGACAGAGGCCGATGTTCGGCGTTGAGGCAAGAGGGGCATGGCAGCCAATCAGGCGGCAAGTGATGACGGCGCGCTTCGGCTGCGGAACCTGGCGATTTGGCCGGTTGCGGTGAGCGATGGGTCGACGGGGGGTTGTGATACTGCTAGTGCTAGCAGACGCTGTGCATGCCGGCAACCTTGCCGGGTATCTCCCATGGGCGGCGTTGGCGTTGGCGTGAGCAGGAGAAGCGGTTGCGGCGCCATGTGGCCGATGACGAGGGCGAGAGTGAGAGCGAGAGCGTTGGCTGCCATGCCCCGCATTCGCCCTGTCCCTGCCCCGCCGCGTCACGCTTGGCGGCCGACGTAAGTAAGTCTGCGTGTGTAGCGACTACGTACACAGTCAGCCTCTCTGCCCATGCTCCGATTCGCCCCCTTCACACGGCTGAGACCACGGAGTCCAAGGGCATGCCATTGCCATGCTGCCGCGCTGCTCCGGGCGCCGTGAAGCCGCCTAAACTCTATCGTGTGTGTGTGTGTCGATACGTGTACGTGTACTTATATATGATGCATTGCTACTGCAGCACATGCCGACATCATCGCCGAGCATGCATGTCTGCTACAGGTTGTCTGCCGTGAAGATAAGCAACGCCATGCGGTGCCGCACAAAGAGCCCCAAGAGTCCAATTGCGAACTGGAACACGAGCAGCCCCATGGCCAGCCGGTCCTCCCGCATCGGCCCAAACCACACCAGCCACAAGTTGATTAGCGTAAAGTTGCTCGACGACACGACTTGGCCGTCTGCGTTGACTTGAACATTCAGCATCCGAAGCCGGTGCAGCAGCTTCAGAGTCTCCGCTATCGGTTTTGCCAACGGCTTCGTGAACTCTACGCGCGAGGGCTCCAGCAGCCCCGTCCGTGCATTGAACCGTGGAAGCCGATGTCGGGGACACGGTACAATGTGGAAGAGTTGGGGGGCCGAGTAGACAAAGTTGAAGGCCTGCGGTACCAGGAGCAGCATCAGCGTCTTGCTAAAGTGGCCCAGAATCGCAACCACCGCAAAGACCATGCCGGCAAAGTAGCAGTACGTGTCGCCGACAAACACCTTGGCTGGATACCAGTTGTGTCTCAACAGCGCCAGAGACACTCCAATAAACGGGAGCAGGAGGTACATGGAGAACAGATGCGAGTCGGTTGCCGGATGGGGGTAGGGTGTAAAGGGCGAGAGGTAGAGAACGTCGTTGATGACAATCAGGACCGCAATGACTATGGACTGGGCCACTTCGATGCCGTTGATGCCTGCCAGGATGTTGATGCTGTTGGACGAGAAGATGGACAGGAGTGCCATGTAGACGTAGTATATCCATCCTGTAGTTTGTTAGCATTTGATGCGAGACCGCTTCTCGCGAATACCCATACCGAGATCAAACAGCTCGCCCAGGTACGGTCGCAGTGGCACGGGGACGACCATTTGCGTGACGCCAAAGTCGACAAAGTATACCACAAGCATGGGGATGACGGCAAAGGCCGGGATGAGCACCTTGTGCCGCCATCTTATGTCGAACAGGTCATCGCCCACGCCGAGCAGCACGATAGATTGAAGTGAGAGAATGGCTGATAGATACGATGCAAGCTTGTTGTGAGGAAACCTGTGCAGCAGCCGGCCCGTCTCAATGAGCTCCAGTTCCTTGATCATGTCCCGGTTGCCGCCCCCCGAGGTCGCGACTACAATATCCTTGTAGAAGGGCCACGGGATGAAGAAAATGATAATGAAGAGATAGACCATTGCGCATACCGCCCCCATAGTCTCGGGTCTGTTGCCATTAGCACGATACCGTCGTCAGGAGCAGGCTTGGCACTCACAATTCCGTCTGCTTCAGCTTGCAGAGGTCCTTTCCTTTGAAGCCACGCCTCATGAAGGCATCTCCAAGCCACCGGATTAGTGCGTAGCAGGAGACGAATGCCAGCCCGCTGAATGCTATCGACGCGATCAGCGGCTCGCCGTCACCGTGAAGCGTGTTGGCCAGCACGCCCATGCACGCGGCCGACAGGGACAGCAGTGAAAGCGACTCGGTCCATGTCAATGCGCTCGTCATCGTGGCCGTGATGGTGAATCCAAGTCGAGGTGACGACGGATCTTGGCACGTGGGAGCCTGCAGTCCTGAGGCCCGTTTGCCTGTCTCGCGACGATATCAACAACAGACGCGTGCGCCCTCTCTCCCTCGTCTCCACGCCACCGAACCGCCTCTTGTTCTGCCTAACCTCGACCCTCGCTCTTTGCTCGCCCTGGTCCGGATCCTGCGTCGTGTCTAGAGTGTGCTTGCGGCTGACAGCAAAATTCGAAATTTAGGTCTCTCCGCCTCCCGTAACGCGCCTGGCTTCGCCCTCGGCGTGGTCAAGCAGCCGCCGCGAGAAAAAAAGCAAATTGCGCAGCGTGGTGAATGCGGTGTCTGGTGTGCAGGGCATATTGCAAGGTGTTGTTTCGCTATGCTCCGGCTTTCTCCTTGCTCTACTAACCCGAAACGTTAGATCCACGAACACTGGCACCCATCATGGCCAGCAACAACCAGGCAGGCCGCCCTGCAAGGCCCGATCCCTTCCTCGACGACCTCGATGCCATCAACCACCATTTGGCAACCCCAGGTTTTCTTCGCCGGTTGACGGCTTCCCAATTGCCTTCGGCGGCGGTTAGCGAGTCGTCTTCGCTCAGCCCCACCCGAGAAGAAGCACGGTTGCGTCCTCCGCCGTCCAATCTCAACCTGACCGTCACGCTTGATGATGAGATCGAGCACGTGGACTTGATCGCTCCGTTGATTCAAGAGCCTTGCGCCGACGGCAGCCCCGGCAGCGTTGAGCCGCACGTTGTCCATCACCTCGAATCCGCCTTTGTGGCTGCGCGCTGTGCCTACCAGACCATGGCGGCCGAGCGCAGCTTTCAGACCTTCTCCCATGGCCATCAGGACCTGGTGCTCGCCGTCGACTTCAACTACTTTGGCACGCGCATGGTCACGGCGAGTTCGGACCACCGCCTCAAGGTCTGGGACAAGAAGGACGATGCGTGGACCTTGGTCGAGAGTTGGAAGGCACACGATGCCGAGATAGTTGATGTGAGTGACCTAAGCCTCAGCCGCAAGCCTCGTCTCGCTTGCCTGATGTCATTTGCCACAGTTGTGACCTGTCGCTAACTCGAGGCTAGGTCAAGTGGAACGGCCCCTTCATGGGCGAGGTTGTCGGCAGCATCGGAGAAGATGGCCGCTGCAAGCTCTGGCAAGAGGATGTCACCGAGGTGGCCATGTCGGGCAATCGCTTCAAGCTGCTCTACAATCTGGCTTCGCTGACCAATGCTCCCTTCATGTCTCTTGACTTCAAGAACATTATGCAGGAGACGTGGCTCGCTCTCATCACCCGTGATGGCTACCTGACCGTGTACGAGCCCCAGGACCAGAGCAACCTTCACGAGTGGACCATCCTGGCAGAGCGCTGGGTCTCGGAGAACAACCCTCCTGAGCGCCAAGAAGAGGTGGGCTTCAAGGTCGTCTTTCACAAAGAGAAGCTGCCCTGCTGGACCGCCATTACCGCCGGCCTGGACCGCAAGTCACTCTCCCTCGCCGTTGCTGCCATGAAGGACGTCTTGATCTTTCGCACCGACAAGGCCAAGCGATTCTTCCAGGTAGCGAAGCTCACCGGTGCGCGTCAGGTCATCCGTGATTTGGCGTGGGCCAGCGGTTCCATGCGAGGCTATGACATTCTGGCCACGGCTAGCAAGGATGGTGCTATCCGCATCTACGAACTCACTACAGTCACGGCCGACAAGGCATCCGCGTCTGGAGCGTCTTCGTCAGCTGTGGCCCCATCCGTATCCTCCCGTCCGAATCTTAAGCACAATGCGCAGTCCGGCATAGGAGCTGGATTGGCTGGTGCTTCAAAGGCGCCTGGTATGTCTCTGGAGAATGAGCAGCATCCTGGCCGCATCAACCAAGAGGTTGCCTTGAAGGACGAGCTTACTGGCCATCATGGAGCTGTCTGGCGTCTCGCTTTCTCGCAGATGGGTAGGTGTCCCCCAATACGTGATTTGATATGACTAACCAAACCTCAGGCGATCTACTCGTATCTACTGGAGACGATGCCAGTATCCGCACCTGGAAGCAGGCTGCCAACGGTCATTGGATGGAGTACGCTCAGATTGAGACTGCTCAAGACAACTAACGGACCGTACTCATTTCGTCACCATGGCCCACCATATTCTACATCGATTTCTGCACGGCTTGTTCTGGATCATTACATTGGCGTTACGGCATTGATTGGGAGACGAGTTCACGACAACAAGCTTACTGCTCGTTGTCTATCACGTCTCATTGAATTACGGCATTTGCAATGGGTTCTAGGAGCATCTCCATGAGAGAGCACACTATTATCGTATGTGAAAATGCATGAGCTGGACATAACTAAAGGTGGATTGCTCGACGCATCATGTCGCCTTTGTAGGCCCTAGCTCCCGCGTCTGAAGCTTACTCCTATTTTCCTTTCCTTTCCTTTCTTTTTTCTAGATACCCCACGGCTATCGGCCATTTATGGTGGGAACTGCAACTGCTCCTGCATTCTCTTGTACTTAGCAAGATACAATGTGCTTAATGATTGCAATGGCAAAGTATCCAGTGATGTGCTGTGGTGTTTAATATGATGTCGCTCTTAACACAGTTAGTATACAGGCTAGTTTGAAATGAAAGATACACTGTGCGGTAGAGTACGAGATTTTGCTGTAGATTCTGTATGATGTCAACTTAAGGGTTGTCAGCAACATTAGGATCTGTTACTTGGTTATAGTAGATGCACATCCCTCTGCATTCGAGAATAAATGCCCTCTTGCAAGTATCACACAAACTTATCCTATTGCGCTATAATTCACAATACGGTATGTAGAAACAGTTCATTACCAATCATCAATTCTGTATTTCTCGTATCGCTACAACATGCTTGCGGATGAGTACAATTGAAAACGCACTAGTCTCTCAGTCGATGTACTATTTTATCATCCGTGAATTGGCTCCACAGACATTGAAATCGGATTTTGAGCACTAATATCCAACTCAAAATAAGGAAATGCGCTTTTCAACCCTCAAACATGGGTTAGAACACGCCGCATAATCTGACGTACACATTACCGTACAATATGTAATCGCAGTATATACTTGCAGTCAGTCTTGTTAAGTCACGACATCGCATCCTGCACCCACATCTCCACAAGAGATATTATCAGAACCCTAAACCATACTGTAGCTATTCAGCACCATACCTACCACATCAACCAAACATGCAAAACACCCACGCTCCACGTCACCCTAACGCCGCGGGCTGACAACCCAGCCGCCCGTAAGCACCCTCAGCCCCCTTTATTTCCACTTTAAAATCTCACCTCGAATCCCTCGCTTAACACCCACCCACCCCACACACTCGCCCACCGATCCCCTCTGGCCGAATCTCCTCCCACCGCCGCTCCTTCCCCAGCAATATAATACCACCACTCGCTCCTTCCTCCATCAAATAACAAGCCCAGGTCTCGCCTGGATCACTCCGCTTGGTGTAGTTGGTTTATCACGTTCGACTGTAATAGCAATTGTAATCGAAAGGTCCCTAGTTCGATTCTGGGAGCGGAGATCAGCTACGATTCTTTTTTTGTTTTTTCTCTTGCGGAGATCCATGGGCAATGGTGAGATTGCGTCTTTTTTTTCTTTCTCTTTTTGTGCTAGTAGAACATCGTGAATGATTGGTGCTGGAAATTTGCTGGTGCGAGGTGGGCCGTCGTGGTGGGGTCAAAGGATTGCGTGCAGTGAGGGCTGGTGCTAGCGACGCAGTGGGGTAGCGTATGGTAGGTTCAGCGAAATTAAGACGTGGCCTCTTCATCTGTGGTTCCAGATTGTGTTTTGCTGATCGAGTTCCTGGTTGTTCGTCCGAGGACCGTATTCTTCAGCGTACATATCTTCCCCATTTGAAATTCCCTCCATCCAATCAGGCTTCGTGGCGCAATGGTAGCGCGTCAGATTCCAGTTTTTCTGGAGCATCCTGAAGGTTAGGCGTTCAAATCGCCTCGAGGTCACATACCTGATTCCAATCTTTTTGCAGTAGTCTGGCACAAAGAGCTTCTTTTTTTGTGTGTTTGTGGGTCTTGGATGCAAGCCGTGCGGCTCCGAGTGCTGCTTGTGGGATTGCCGCGAGGAGGGGCGACTCCACCATCAGCCGAGAGTCTGGACCGCTAACATTGATTGAACTGATTGAGCTTTGATTTGCTGTTTGCTGATACTACCCGAATGAACCGAAAACAACTGCCTTGCCAGATGAATTGTCCTCCTGCAACATGGACTTTTCGAGCATTAATAGGAGATGCGACGTTCGAATGAAAAGCTCTGTGTGCTGTCAGGGTCTATGCTATTGTTGAAGGTGCCATTGGATGACTTACCGTCATACTCAATCTCGTAGCTAACAGGCACATGCTCATCTGCGCTCATGAGGATGGGTGCCTGTCCGCAGAGCCTCTTTTCACGCGCATTGAAGCGAATACCGCTGTTCTTCTTTGGCGTAACCCACAAGATTTGCGGATCTTCTAGATCGGCTTTTTCTTCGTCTACCTCTCTCACAACAGCTTTGCCTTTGCCTTTGCCTTTGCCTAGTTCTTCTACAGGCTCGTTCGGAGCCGCTTTGTTAGCTGCAATGCACCTGTCTGAAACATCTCGCAGCCATTCTCTCCAGACCCTGAGCACACCTTCTTCGACTTCAACAAAGTTTGTGAAGAGGTTGTGGGACCCAATCTTGACCAGATTTGTCTGCGCAATCAATTGCGTGAACAGTTCATGAGCTTCGAGGCTTAGTATCTGCTTGACGGTTTCGCCCTTGTAACGCTCCTGTGCCGTCCCTGGAAACGTGCGACTACCAGGGACGTCCCCCGGTCGCGGCCTCACCTTCCTACCGCCATCCTCTAGATCGCGTCTGTGTGGACGGAAGCGGGAGTACATGTTGTACATCTGGCCCAATCTGCCAACATCCTTCTCATTCAAATCGGTTTCATTGTATCGTGTCAATCCATCAGTGCCTCGATAGGTGCAAAAGTAGGGCGGCTCGGTAAGCTTCACAGACGGATGGAAGCATTCGAGAAGTACAGAATGGGAATGCAGCTCGGCAGCTGCAACGAGGCGGGTTTGCAAGATTCGTAGAATCAGCGAATATATGCGGCGCGATATGGTGGTCAAACGAAGAAGTTCCAGAGTGGGAATCGGTGTAAAGAGATGGAGGAGCAACTGCAATGATTAGTTGCGGTGAGATGACATCAATGTATACGCTACTATACCTCATTTGGGAGTCTGTAGAGAAAGCATTCAGTCATTTCGCAGAAGAGATGAAGAACAAAGTCTTTTCAGATCAAGGTTAGTATACTTGTAGCGTTAGATGTTGAGAATGGGCGAGGGGAACTTTGTGGCCACTGCAGAGCATCGAGCACGGAGATAAGATACCGTCATCGCCTTGCTAAACCCACTTTGGGGGATCGAGGCTTGGCCGAAACAGGCTAGACTACAGTCAAGACGCGCTTTCCCGTTCCAACTCCGACACTCACCTTCGACATTCAAGGCCAGACGTCAACTTCAAATCCTGCAAATCAGCGCGGACGCAGCGAGCCGAGGGCGCTGCTCTCTTACTGCTACCATGCGCACTTTCGTTCAAGATCGCCGCATCAACTCAAACAGTCCGCACAATGCCCCGGCTAACGCGCAACCCGTCCCAAAGTCTGAACGGCAAGCCGTTGGTGCCAATGCAAGAGTGTCGATGAAGAATGGATTGCCTTCTCAGCGCTCCACACCAGCGCCTGGAGCTCTAGCTCGTGGGTCTGCTAATGCGCAGAACAGCTCGGCTGCCCTACAGTACCCTCCCCAACGCGTTCAGTCGGCCCAAGATCACGGCCTGAAGCGTGATCCCTACGACACTGACGCAGAAAGCCTAGACACTACAATCGACCATTCGGCTGTTCAGGTACAGGATAGTCAGCAGAGGGAGTTGCAGTACCAAGAGCATGAGCCCATCTACGATGTTGGCGCGGGCGGCGTTGCGGATCAAGGCATCTTGAGCTCTCAAGGATCAGAGATTCTATATGGTGATGAGAATCACATGATCATGCCGGAAGACGAGCAATTCCTTAAAGACCAAGGACTACATGAATACCCCTACGAACAGAAACTTGAGTTCCTCCACAATATGAGGCGAAAAGGCCTGCGGACGATCGAGGGCGATTCATACCCGCCCACCACTGACGGCGAGCCTTCTGAATTGGAAGGTGGGCAGGAGCCATCTTCCGACTACCGTCATGGCCACGTTCACAACGCTCCCTCATCTCAGTATCCCAACATCAAGTACGAACGTGCAGAGCCAAACGGACCGTATGCGACACATCAGCAGAAGCTACATATGCCTGTCCCCCAGCAGAACCTGCAGAATAGCTCACACATCTTGGAGCATTCCGCACGACTCCGTGAACAGCAGCGCATGAACGCACCCAGTGTGCAACATGTCAGACAAGACTTTCAGCATCACAATATTGTTCCACAGCCCAGTCAGCCGCCTACTTACAGTCAGGCTAACGCTGGTGTTGCTGCTTTTCCTATGCACCCAAAGCCTCCTCGAAATACTTACAGTCAGGCCAATCATCAACAATATAGTCAGCGCCCACAGTCCGGTCCTTCCCGAGTCCAATTCCAGTCTCAATATACCAAACCAGTCGAGCCACCTGCCCCGCCCGAACGTGCATCTTCAGCATATGCAAAGTCGGAACAAACTGCATACCCAATGCCGTTTGAGCAACCTCCGCTCGACGAGCTCGAGGGAATCCAAATCGAAGACTATGAACCCGAGACCCTCTTCAAGATGAAGTACGAAACTCTCAGGAACGAAAGTTTCGACACCGATCCGCGCGCATTTCGCGCTGTGCTCACGGAAGAAGATCTCCAGAAACCCCTGGTGGAGCGCCTGGTATTGGTGCAGAAGAATCTTGAAGCCGACCAACAATCTGAATTCTTCCAATCTCTACCTACTGCTGAGTGGGAAGATGCTGGCGACTGGTTTCTTGATCAGTTCCAGAGCATCATTCAGCGTATGAAGCAAGCAAGGCAGAAAAAGCGCAAGCTGGCGCAAGGGTTTGAGGAGGAAATGGAGGAGCGCTACAAACATGTGGCGAAGAAGCAGCTGCAGGTTGAGCAGGCACTGGACAAGATGAAGGCTCAAGGCGAGAGTCTGGTACCTAGGAGCCCGAAGCCGTCGAAGAGCCCTAGATCGAAGAGGCGCTGAGAGTGGAGGTTGTAAAGTGGAGGCATGCTTGTTATTCACTTTCAAAATGGCGCTATTTCAAGGTTACATGGCCGTATTTGGGGGAATGGAATGAGGTGGTCTATCGGGATTGTTGTCGTCTCTTTCTCCGTGTTATATACCCATTTATGAGCATGGATATTCTTGTAGTCTTAGTAAAGCACAATACTTTTATTTCTCTAACCCAACATTGCTGTATCAAGCTGGAAGTTCTGTTTGGGTTGAAAACCATGAGATGAGTGTGGTGATTTTACGATGTTTGCTGCCGCGTTCCGCTCACTGCGCCCACTTTTGGCTATTGGATTCTTGAGTGGTTCTACTTGCTTATAGCTTCTCTGCAGGAGTCTTGGTTTAGAGATGTTAGTAACGCCATCATGATGCTTCTCTGATCAATAACATACGGTCCATAAAGCGGTTTCTCAATGTAGTAGCTGTTCACTGCTTCGGCCAAGTTCATCAAATGGCGACTATCATCACTGTTTAACAGTGGTCGTGAACCGAGTGCAGATAGAAATGAAAAAAAAGCACAAGAAACCAACCACGACGCAGAGCTACGAACAGAGAGAGTCCTTGACTTGACTGCACACATTCCTCTCGGCTATCGGATTGTCCGCGAACAAGGTTGAGCACGAGTTTGCTCGGATATACCGGGATCCAGCGACTCTAGGGAGCGCGCGGAAGTGGCAGAAAGTCAAGTACACAATTTACATTAGCAAGGCCCATAATAGCCCGCGCACCCCCTAAAGCAAGGGCATGGGTTGCATGATGCAAGCACATGGCTAAACCAAATCACGGCTAGTGCAACGATAATTCACATTGGAGCTGCAGGACATTGGCGGCATTTTGGCCATGTGCCGGGGTGCATACGTCATCTTTTAGCATCAACCTTAAGTACACATTCTACACGCAGCTGCATTCAAGTGTATATTTGAATTGGAAACAGAAAATAGATCAATTCGTGTTTGGAAGCCTGTGGTACCAACACATAAGAGTAAAGATGCTCGATCCCAGATCAGGAAGATGGTGAGAGAGCACGCAGGTGTGACCAAAGGGCTGCTGTGTGTGCGTGTGGATTACGCATCCGTGGAAGACTCGGATAAGTGCACAGCCAGGATTGCGCGCGGTAATATGCAAAAATTGCCAGAAAGAGAACTACTACAGCATGCTGCGAGTAACGGCCCGCCTGAACCCGGAACTCGACGGAAGCTTGGCACGTCAGCAGTGAAATCATGGTCATTCATACATATATATCCTTGCTGTGTGTATGTCGATTCTCGGAATTCCAGGGTGAAGAAAATTCGCTTTTGGGATTTGAATTTCTTGTACGGGCGAGTATTATATCTATCTTTGCGGATTAGTTCTCTCCTTGTCCACAGCTGCAGTCTTCTTGTACCACCAAACGGACGTTCATAATTAAAATATCCACATCCGGCCGCGACGACACCAAGACATTGGAAAGCAACACCAGTATCCCGGCGATGCCGTTTGAAATATCAGAGAAATGGGGGTCCTACCACCTGATACCGCAGTCGGTGGACGTGGCTCTCAACCCGCCGGAATCCTACTTCTTCATCACCGACTTCCTCATCATAGCATGCGGCATCCTGTACACGCTGTGCTACATGTTCTACACGATCCGGACGTACAGCGATGGCTTTCTGGCGGGGACGGTGCAGTTTCTCAGCGCAACCATGGCGTATGAGATTTACTATGCGTATGTGTGCACGTCGACGGCATTCCAGCGAGCGTGCTTCTTCGTGTGGTTCTTGTTCGACATTACATTTGTGACGGTGGCGCTGCGATATGCGTATGCACGGGGCGAGCGTGAACGCACAATGGTCAAGTTGCTGTGGCAGACGCCGGCGTGGATGGCGTTTCTGTGGTATGTCGGGACGGTGTGGCCGGACGAGAGGGAGCAGAAGACTGCATTTTTCACGGGCCTGTATCTCGAGCTGCCGATTGGGTGGGGCCAGATTTGGTATCTGGTGCAGCGGCGAGATACAAAGGGGCAGTCACTGGAGATTTGGTATGTTGTGTGCGAGAGAGAGAGAGAGAGAGAGAGATTGACCCGAGCGCCGTGTCCATTTTACCCATGCTCTTGGCGTCAATAATATCCATTTTCTAGGCCCACGCTAACCATGGAACAGGATCACGAGATATCTGGGGTGCATAACGGCGTTTCTGGTCTTCATCTGGCGGTACGTCAATGTGCCTGAGAACTGGGCCTACGTAGGCAACTGGTGGAGTATTGGTGGCATGATGATTACTCTGTTGCCCGAGACGGTGTATCCCTTTTTCTACATCTGGGCACATGGCAAAGAGCGGGAGACGAAAATAAAGGCTTAATAATGATGAGCCCGGCGGCAACAGTATAGGTCACTGGGCCAAGGGGTAAGATGGCCCACGTCGGTTTAAACCTTCTGCCACCACAATAGGGGCTGGGGGGGTTGACGAGCACGAGTCAAGGTGGCTAGTTTTGGGCTACCAATCTCATCGTGTCGGGATAATCGGCACCTTCACGTTACGCCGTTAGCTTCATATCACGATGGTTCGTGACACTGCGCGACATCCAAGACGGGCGATCGGCTCCCAAGCATTTCAGCCAAGCGCACAGCAGCGACAGCACAGGAGATGTCCAGTGCCGTGTTTCCTGTTCTGCAGCCGGACCCGGCGTGATTGGGTGGTTGAGCGTCTTAAGCAGGCGTGGGCGCGTCGGGCAGTGCACGCTATTTGAGTTTTCTGCACAAGCGCGGATAAACGTGCCAGCGACTGCGATCTGGGCGAGTCTCTGTGTCGGTGACGAGATTTGCAGCCACAACACGGAGCGCCTGCCAGTCGATGCGCCCGACGTCTTGTGCATATGAAATGCAGCGCCGATCCTCAGCCACACCAATCGTACAAACCCGGCTACTTCAAAACAAAAACACACAAAAACACACACACACCAACTTTTAAGCAGAAATCTTTCATCA